TTAAGCCAAAATATAGTGAATCTATCTGCTCCATTCATGGACTAAATTTCATAGGTGTTTATTCTTATTTATATCAGCCAGATGTTATACTTAAGACACAGACTTAATAATCCTGCCATGTTTAACTCCTAAACATTTCATTCACACTTATGTCTAAGACATAAGAGAGTAACAAAGTGTGCACTAGAGAAATATGGAGGATTATGATACAGTAAAATACATGAACGAACCTTCACACAATATTTTCTGATATATTCTTTACATCTTAAATGAACAATGTACATGACTATTACCCTATTCACACCAAAGCTGTACATTTCTCAGGTCAGTGTAGAGACTGAAATTCTTTGCCTCTGATATGGTCAACAGGCATCAATGATCTGTTTGCTGTTATGCAATCAAGCTACTCCTCACTGATCCAGTCCATGGAATGATCTTGACATGCATCTCTTCCTGTAAGCGTACCTATAAAAAGAGAAGAAAAGCCTATGGTAAATTTACAGAGGCACTGATATGGATCATATAATTTCAGCTGAGGCTAAAGAAAATGTACCAAGCTATCATGAAAAGTAGTGGCACACACCATATATTTCCGGTAACACCACTAGAGGACGCCACACACTCATTTACCTGATTTAGTCTTACAATTACAGGTGTGCTGAGCTTTGGTCTTCTTACTAGGCCCATGTGAAGCTTGGGCCTTGTGTGCAATGGCTTCCAGTGGCACAGATGAAGAGTGGGCTCCAATAGAGGATGGACGAGGCACAGGAAGAGCAGAGGTCTTGGCACAGAGAAAACAAGGCTCTGGCGAAGCAGAGGGCCCGCGGGGAATGAGGATCTCCTCACGGTTATGGTACAGTCTCTGAGCTCCACTGTGATGCTCTGCACGCTCGCGCTGCCAGATGAAGTGAGATGGCACAATAGCCATTACCTAAAATCATGCATCAAGCACAACATGATTGAGCCATTTTTCAGAACCAGCAACCTATAAAATGCTTTATAGTGCATGTTTAGTGAACTGCGTACCTCCTCACAGCATTGTCTGCTGACAGCCGCTCTGTACTCTATGCGTGCCCACAACTGGTCTCTTTGTTTTAGGAATCGTGGGAAATGTTTCCTCCAGCTCTTTCCCAGAGCCCAGGGGAAGATCTCATATTTGGTTTCCTCCTCATCCTCTTCCATAGTGTTTGCCAGATAGCTAGAGTATAAAAAATTGAGCACTTGGACTGTAGGAATTAAGGCTGTATTCACAAATAGGAATTTTCTGTCATGCTCATAACATATTGCAGCGCAACTGAAGAACTTTAAAATTAGCAACCCCTATACACTGTAAATATAGATAACTCTCAAGTTACCTCACCTCATATAGTGAAAAACTATAAATGGTTTAACACATTATATGTAATTGTAATGTAAATACTGTGATATTAGTCAAAAAATTATGAATTATAAATTTAGTGAAAAACTGTAAAAAGGCATTCCTATTTGGATGTGTCCATTCATGACATCACATATGATTATATTTTATAGAAACAGTTTTGTTCATTAATTTGTTATTAGTAATGTAGGGTGTTTTAGTTATGTTTTGCATTGTTTTAAGTGCTTGTGAACTTGTAAATCATACAGACTTCCTGTAGAACTAAAAACACCATTGTATTGTTTACAGTGAATTCCTGCCAACCCACAGCTGCCAGTTTTTCACCATAAATGTAACAGGTTTTTTTTTTTTTTTACAGTATACAGAACATCCTCAGAGTAATCAACTCACAGGGCAAGGAAGAAGTTCATTCTACTGTGTTCAGTGATACTGAAGCGAGCCCTCCTGAAGTACACAAATGTCATAGCCAACAAATACTATATGAAAATAAAGACAGAGAATTGAGATTAGAGACACAGCTGCCTATATACATTTTTCTAAATTCAAAACTGTCCACAATCGAAAAACCACTAAATATTAAATGCACCAAAATATGTCTTGCTACCTTGTCTGTAAGTTTACAGCAGCAGTCCATCCACAGAAAGTCCTGTATTAGATCATCATCTGAGCAGACAGCAAATCAAAAAGGTTTTATTCTAGAGAATTATATATATATATATATATATATATATATGTATATATATATATACATACATATATATATATATACATAT